GAGAGAGAGAGAAAGAGAGAGAGAGAAAGACAGAGAGACAGAGAGAGAGAGAGAGAGAGAGAGAAAGAGAGAGAGAGAGACAGAGAGAGAGAGAGAGAGAGAGAGAGAGAGAGAGAGAGAGAGAGAGAGAGAGAGAGAGAGAGAGAGAGAGAGACAGAGAGAGAGACAGAGAGAGAGAGAGACAGAGAGAGAGACAGAGAGAGAGAGAGAGAGAGAGAGGGAACATGTTTATTCTGAAGCTGGAATCACCGCCTCGCTTCCACCAACAAGTCGATTATATAAAAAAATATATAAATAAATAATGAATTAATTAAAACTATTAGAAACAGATGAGTGTGTGTGTGTGTGTTGGTCTTACTCTGCGGGCCATATAAACTGGCTCCCAGCTGTGACAGTTGACCCGTTGAGGAAGCAGAGGAAGACACCAGCATCTGAAACACAAACAGCTCAGTCAGTTTACTGAGTTCTTCTACATCTAACCCTGAGCCTAACCAGACCACCTGAACATATTATGTTCTGTTATCCTTTACTAAACAGGTTCTTTATCACCCTCTTTGAAAATGTTTTGTACTAAAAGATGTGAATGTATTTGAATTTTTGTTCCCACTGACTAAATAAGACAAATGTTAAATGTTGTTTAAACACAAACAGCCACAATAACTTTGTCAGAATGAAACTAAACATGTAAATATTGTGATTTAAATAAGGAACTCTCTGATGACAGAGGAAGTAATCTTTACAATATTTCCATGACCTTAAATCACAACTGCAAAGTCCTGCAGCAGAGACTGAAATTGAAATCTAACTAACAGGAACTTACATCTTTGTCAGGGCGGTGAGGAGGGAACATGGACTGTTGGCTGTAGTAGAGGCTGGAGTCGTCCGCGTAGTCGCTCTCCACCCCCCCCTCCATAAACTTCTTCCGGTTAGCACCAAACATACCGCGTGTCACCTGAGAGAGCAAAAGGGAAACGGTCAGACTGAAGAAGACACTAACTGAGACACACACACACACACACACACACACACACACACACACACACACACAGGCATTATGTTCAGACTCACACACAAACTTGTTTTGCAACCCTGAAAACAAAGTAAATAAACAGATGTGTCATTTTTGCTTTAGTTTCATGTTGGGTGAAGCCATGGTTACTCATACCTGTTTGCACTTTTAAAATCTTTACAATTATGTTAACAATTGTACTTTGAATAAGTTTGGAATAATTGTAAGTTGCTGCTGGAGCTGCAGCTGTGAACTCACGTCTTATTTAAACAGATTAACATGAAAAATCAGACTTCTGCAGCATAAACACGGGTTCATCACTCTGCACCAACCGAGGTGTTTGTATGACAGTGGCACCACACATCGCCTCTGCATCATACAATAGAGTTGACACTACGTTGTTTAATTAAACACAGCTCTATGACTAGAAATATACTGCTGCATCCGAAACTTTGATTTTGGACATGAGACTGTTCATTTCAAACCTTTAAAGTATGACAGACCGACTTTAGGGTGGCTACAACCATGAAATCACAGGTCCAGTCCTGGAAAAGCTGGTGTTTTGTCCATCAACATCTGCTAAGCTACAGCACAATGACATGAGAATTACAGCTGCAGCCGATGATTACTTCCTATATCGTTTATTCATTTGAAATAAAGAACGTCAGAAATTAGTTTTCTACTACCCAAGGTAACGTTTTCAGATGTCCTTTTTCGTCCAAACCCCAAAGAGATTCAATTCAGTATCATGTACAACCCTAACCCTAAATTAAATGACTGAGTAATCATTGTAGCTGTAATGAGAAAATCCAACCTTATCATTACATAGAAGGACAATCTGACCAGCATCATCATGTTTAAAACCTGATGAAAAGCTGACTGTTGTAGTTTACCTGTCGTCCCTGAAGAACATGAGGTGGTGTTAATGTTCAGATCCACAGTCCTGTCTGGACAGTGATCTCTCAGGATTAGTTTTGTTTACTGAAGTAGGTTAGCCGAACATCCACGATCCCAAACAGAAGCAGCCAGTAAACAACGGCTAACTGAGCTAACACGCTTCCAACACTTACAACGCGTGTATTATGTTGTACACTACCGTGTTTAACGTTATAATTTCCACTAACGCCTCCCTCGGCTGTAAACACGAACCGAGCAGCGTGGAAGCTTCAATGTTCTTGTTTCAAATCTCCATCTCCGTTAAAGGTGCAGCAGTGTCGCAAAAGGCTAATGTTAGCTTTGCGAGCTAATGGGAGCTCCGATTATCTGTGTGACTAGCGCTAATTCTGACACAACACCACCCGCTAGTTTCCTTACAGCAAAGAATAACCGACATATCCTGCCCAGTCTTCTTTTAATGAATCCCTAACAAATATCAGCCATTAGTTAGCGTTACCGTGTTAGCTGTAGAATGCTAGCAGCTACGGCTAACTAACAAGCGCACGTATGATACTAGCTTCTTCTATAGCAATACATGGAGACGCTAGCATGAGAGCTAACGCTAACTACCGAGCGAGCTACTCGGCTAACAGCAACGTAAAAAATCCGCTACAAGGGCAGTTTTAAGCTGTTCTAATACTATCCAGCAAGTCGATACGGTGGGTTTATATGCGGTTATGTGGGCAGGCTACCGAGCAGAGAGGAGACCACAGGACAGGTGTGTTTTTGTTCGGGTTTGGGCCTGCTGCGCCTCCGTTGGTCAGTTCCCCCAAACAACAACAAAAAGAACCAAAGCCACACTGCTGCGTTTTAAGTCGCATTTTTATCACTTCCATGCACAGCCCGATTCCGCGGTGACTGTCGCACCACCGTTGTTTTAGCTAAATTTGGTTTTGGTTGGTAATGGCTCAGAAAATGAATTAAACGAAGAAACAAGGAGCTCACCGCATCAATCTTTTTTCCCCGCTACAATCCAAGATGGCCGACATCTCTTCGCCAATCAGCGAGGATGCTGGGATACCTTTCGCCTCTGACCTCTGAGCCCCCATCACTCTACTCTACTCTACTCTACTCTACTCTACACTATTATACCATACTATACTATACTATTCTGACTTTTCATATAGAGATAAAGCCACAAACATATATTAGGATAGGTATTGGCACTAACAATAAGACAGATGATAATAATAAGACCAATAATAAAAATAATTATAACAATAAAAATAAGACTAATAATAATAATAATAATAATAATGTTACTAATTATGAGACTAACAATATTAATAGTAGGAGGAGGAGAGACGAGCCGCACCATGTTTTCCACAGAGGGCTTTGAGATGGTTGAGTCTGTTGTTTGCCTTTTGTTCAAAGTTATTGATCACTCTCTTTTGTCTAAGTCCTTCTGAGGAATGTTGTGTGCTGAATTTTGCTTATTTTAATTTTCTGGTTGTTTAGTATCTGACACTGTTGTTGGGCTGCAGGTGTGAATTTTTGGTGTAGAGGGCACATTGTGTCTGTCTCAGCAGAATTCACTTTGATTCTCCACATATTTGAGCTGTTTTCTATTTCATTTGCGTTTGTGACATTTTTTTTTAGTTGCTCTGGACATTTGGAGCCAGACCAGAAGCAGAGCTCATCCCTGAGGGGGTAATATGAGTCAGAAATGTATGAAAGAAACTGCAGGGGGATCAAAACTGCACCCTGGGGGACTCCTGCTTGGTGATGACAGGTGTTAAAATGGCAGAGGCCTTTGATTTGGTGGTTGTTAAGAAAGTTGGAAATGATGGATTCATCCATGATAGCTGTGCTTTACCTGAATAAATAGAAGACCAATGTGAATTCCTAGGAGACCCATTGATTCAATGTGATTAGTGAGGCGTGAGCTGAGCACTTTCAAGCAGTTTTCCTATGTGACTATAAGAGGCTTATGGAGTGGTAGCTTGTGACATTGTGCCAATCTTTTCCTGGTTTGTGGATCATGTTTGAACTGTATGTTTCCCGTTCCCACTCTCGTTTTTGCAGTGGAAGTGGAACTGACTCTGTTAACACAAGTTGTGTCCAATCAGAATTGTTCAAATATTTGACTTTCTTTTCAAACCATTGAGATGTTAAGTTTTGATGGCGTGATAGCTTTGAAAAATAATTTTTCAATAAACTTAATGATTTATGAAAAATTGTGAAAATATGCTCTGCTAATGGCAGGTTAGCTAGGAGGAATAGTAAAGTCAATGAATGACACAAAAGACTGAAGCATCCTTGAGTGTGACAGGAAAAAGTCCACTGCAGTGCACTTCCATGCCTGAGGACAAGATCTCTTTAAGAAGCTTTTTAAATACAATTTGTTTTTTTGACAATTTTCAATGTTTTTAAATGGAATAATCACATTAATTAAGACTATTTCTGCTTTTATGCAGAAATTCTGTTGGCTAGTGTTATAAAATGTTGTAATAAGTATAAAATATGATATTCAAGTCGGACAACAAATTAGTACTCTAATGTGATACCTCTCGCTTTCTCTTTAATGCAGTTACTACCATGTTTGTTCCTTAGTGTGACATACATAAACGAACCAAAAACATGTTTTTTAACTCAAAATATCTTATAAGCAGTTGAGTATTGAGTGGTAGGGGAGATATAATCATCACTATTGTTAAATTCGTATATTTTTCAGCAGTTATGACAATACAACAGCAAAGTTTTACTCTCATTTGTTGAAAAAGAACAAGTTCAATAAATCATGGTGGGGGAGAATTTTGTTATTTATAATTTCATATTAAATGAATAAGATTATATGAAAAGAAGTGTCTCAACAAAAAAGATAAATCACTTTCATGCTATTTGTATGTTGTATGTATGATGTTTTGTTAATCTATACATGAACATTTTCTATGTCACACCAAAGCACACATTGTAGTGCTGGTTAGTGAACATCTTTTTTAAAAATCAGTTGAGAAATTAACAGAATTATTGACCCTCAAATATCAGATTTCATACTACATGAATATCTGTATTTAATCTCCAAAAACAAACATTTTACTGCATTTTTATTGACTACACGGCTATCGATGTCTTATTTTGTAAATGCCACAGACTCCAGGGCGGAAGCCGCGAAATCTCTACAGTGGCTTTACGTATTCAATTCTGATTCGACAATCACGCTTAAGTTCTGCCTGACCAATGAGCGACAAGCTAGGAGCCGCTAGTGGCAATATAAAGGCGGATTCGACACAAAGGAAATATTTCTCTTCGATTCTGTGAAGATAAGTTAAATCTGTATCATGTCTGGACGTGGTAAGACCGGAGGAAAGGCCAGAGCAAAGGCCAAGACCCGCTCCTCTCGTGCTGGACTCCAGTTCCCCGTCGGCCGTGTCCACAGGCTGCTGAGGAAGGGCAACTACGCCGAGCGTGTCGGTGCCGGAGCTCCCGTCTACCTGGCGGCGGTGCTCGAGTACCTGACCGCTGAGATCCTGGAGCTGGCCGGAAACGCCGCCCGCGACAACAAGAAGACCAGGATCATCCCCCGCCACCTGCAGCTGGCTGTCCGCAACGACGAGGAGTTGAACAAACTGCTCGGCGGAGTCACCATCGCTCAGGGAGGTGTGCTGCCCAACATCCAGGCGGTGCTGCTGCCCAAGAAGACCGAGAAGCCCGCCAAGGCCAAGTAAACTCAGCCGAGTTCAACTAAACAAAACGGCTCTTTTAAGAGCCACCCACTTCTACTTAAAAAGCTGATTCCTTATTGAAAGTCAAAGTACACACAAACATAATGTAAAACAGGATACCACTTTATTAATCCCATGAAAATAAACGTCCCCATATTAAAAATAAACACCCAATACCAATGTTCATAAGGTATTTTTATTCATATGTACTACCTGTATACTATAATATATTGCATTGATGTAGTGCCTTAGACAAGTTCAAAGATGTTTTCAGAATAATCCCTTATGTTGATTTATTAATTTACTCATGTCTTAGTGTTTTTACACATTTTGTTCTGTAACTGTAGAACTACTCTGAGGCTCAGTGGGAGTATTGTGTTAACAGTAAAAAACAAAAACAAAACTTGTTGCTGTTTGATTTGCTGAACTGATGCTATTGTCATTGTTGTTTTTATGTGGTCTCTGATCTCCCTCAGTTTGATGTGTTTTGTTAATTTGAATATACTTTTTCACTGTTGATGCTGCCTTTTGCAAAATGAAATGAGGATCACCATATGCTATTGAAAATTGGCTTCTGCTTGTGTAATGTTTGTATTTTTTATTTGTATAAGATGAACACTATCAGTCTTTGAATCTTGGAAGTTCTACATATTCAGTCAATATCATATAAATAGTAAAAAGGTTTGTGAGGTTTGTGAAATAATTACAGGAGGTGATGATGGTGTGCAAGAAGTTGATCTTTGGGATTTTAACAATGAAAAGTGCAGTGAGTTTAAGATATTAACAGTTGTCATAATTACAAATTACTAATAATTTAAGACAATTGAAAGAAGAATAAACAAAATCTTGAATCAGCTCACGGCAGAAAGTTTATCTTTATAAAGTTCATGTTTTTTTATTTGGATGTATGAAACATATAAAAGAACATTTAAATTGAAAAATATCAAAATAGAATATTAATATCCATTAAATTATTCTTACACTCTCAGTTTAAATTTGTCTGAATATTTCAAAATCCACATATTGAAATGAAAAACGCCGATATTTTGATGAATTTGATGGAACAGACTTGGACTAGACTAACTGAAACATTAAGTTCCAGCTGTGACGTTGAGTAGTTGACAATTAGACAATTAGAGTCCATGTTGGCGGCCAATTTCATATTTCAGAGGTCAGTAGGGTTGCCAGGGTCAATGTTTAACTTTTATTTTGAATGAATTTTAACCGGAAACGCAGAGGCTCACGGGCTCTAGCTTGAGAGAGGAAAAGCAAATTTGGCGGACTGAGGCGGAGCTGTGTGTCTTCCTTTACGTCCGCATTCACGATTTAAATACGGACGTTCCTGACTCGACATTTATCAGTTTTTCTCCGGATCAACCTGAACTCGACAACATGAGTGGACGCGGCAAAGGAGGCAAGGGACTCGGAAAAGGAGGCGCCAAGCGTCACCGTAAAGTTCTCCGTGATAACATCCAGGGAATCACCAAGCCCGCCATCCGCCGTCTGGCTCGCCGTGGCGGAGTCAAGCGTATCTCCGGTCTCATCTACGAGGAGACCCGCGGTGTGCTCAAGGTCTTCCTGGAGAACGTCATCCGTGACGCCGTCACCTACACCGAGCACGCCAAGAGGAAGACGGTGACCGCCATGGATGTGGTCTATGCCCTGAAGAGGCAGGGCCGCACCCTGTACGGCTTCGGAGGTTAAACGTGACACCACAGCTCCCAACAACACAACGGCTCTTTTAAGAGCCACACAACTCTTCTACAGAGAATAATCCTTATTCATGATGAATTTATTTTAATGTGAAATGATTATGAACAACATACTGGTATTTTCATATGACAATTGAAGCCTGCCATTATGGAAGAAGTGTTGACACAAATCCTAACCACCACAAATGTTGGCAAAAGAATTAAAGAGCATAATCCTTGAGAATATCCAATACCTATGACGTTTGAAGCAAAACATTCACTCCAATATAACTTATTCATTCTTGCACAAATGTCAAACATGATTCGTTATTATCAGTTGGAAAGCTTTTACATTACATCATATTTTAGATGTTGTGATTTTCATTGTATATTGTACTGATCTGCACTAAACTTAATTTTAAGATATGCTTAATAAATAAACTTGATTTCATGTGACTGACATCAACAACGAAATGTTTGATTCGATACATTGGTCTTCTATTTACTCAAATGTAAACAGACTAAGAAACAAAGCATAAGTCTGACTGTGGAATATAAGATCAAACAAGACTGTATCGTATGGTCCCTAAATAAGGAATCTAACCTGCACTACAGCGGCCTTAGCTAACGACAAAACACAAAGCTAACTGTGCTACCAACACAACAACCTGCCCCCCTTCACACAAATCAGTGTCACAAGTCTAATTATCGGTCATTTCTACCTTAACTGAACAAAACAGTCTCCACATGGTAACCCTATAACATTACATTAACATGTCACCCAGTCCTTACAGTAGATTCTTGTATATCGTATTTCCCATAGAGGCCATTATAACCGTAGAAACAAAATGAAAAAATCCACCAAAATGGAAGATTGTTTTCTGATCTCTCCATAAATATTTGTTATGGTCAATGCAACATTCAGTTCAGTTTAACCTACAATGTTACTGTAGATGCTAACTCTACCTGGGATAGATAGATACTTGCATTTATCACCTAGGGGAATTTTATTTGTTATAATTAATAATAAACAAATAATTGAATTAGTCAACATCCTTTTTTATTACTTATTTCTACAAAATAAAAGCTTTAAAGATTGAAAAGTTGTGTTTTTAACATTAATTTTAGCCACTTTTGCATCATACAAAATAATTACATTCAAGCCACATTGGAGAGTTTGACTTATTTTGATTGCATAATGATTTTCAGGTAATCTCAGTTTAGTCTTGTTTGATAGCCTGGCCCTTTAATCTACAAGAGAAGACATGACTGATCTCACTCAACTGGTTCAAAACCCCCAGGACTCCGGGTTTGTTATATAAATGTTTCAGTGTGGCATCACTCATAACTTAAAGTAAGTAATGTGTAAAAGCAGTTGGTTTTGGTGACCACACTTATGTTTTACTAGGACTTTAGATCATTATATTTACATTCTGAGTATTATGTATATCGTTGTTAAAAGGACAGAGCTCTTATGAGACAGGTGTGTGGCTCTTAAAAGAGCCGTTGTGTTTAGACTGTGGTCAGGCGGGTTTAAGCCCTCTCACCGCGGATGCGGCGGGCCAGCTGGATGTCTTTGGGCATGATGGTGACCCTCTTGGCGTGGATGGCGCACAGGTTGGTGTCCTCGAACAGGCCGACCAGGTAAGCCTCGCTGGCCTCCTGCAGAGCCATGACGGCGGAGCTCTGGAAGCGCAGGTCGGTCTTGAAGTCCTGAGCGATCTCCCTGACCAGGCGCTGGAAGGGCAGCTTGCGGATCAGCAGCTCGGTGGACTTCTGGTAGCGACGGATCTCTCTCAGAGCCACGGTACCGGGCCTGTAACGGTGAGGCTTCTTGACGCCGCCGGTGGCAGGGGCGCTTTTACGGGCAGCCTTGGTGGCGAGCTGCTTCCTGGGGGCTTTGCCTCCGGTGGATTTACGGGCGGTCTGCTTGGTTCTTGCCATTTTAAAACGTTGCTCGTTTCTTTGAAAATGAACGTGCTGAAGAACCTAGAGGACGTCGTTTTTATAGCCGAGGCTGGAGCGCCAGTAAAGCTGATTGGTCGAGTGTGCGCACGTGATGTAGCGGTTCGTTTATTGGACAAAAGAAATTTGAAAATTTAAATTTCCCTCCTCTCAGGGCGGGTAGTCAGTTTGTTTAACTGACTTCCCGCCCTCAGAGATAACTCTGTTGAGTAAACTTCAACAGCTTTAGAACAATCACAGAAATGTAACTTAGAACAACATATGGGAACTTTGGGACTCACTGCAGTTAAATGAGTCAAATAAATATTAACAACAAAAAACATTATCATTAGCTGCACTGTGAGGTAGAAAAAAGAGTCAAAAAAGAGAACCATTACAGAAGAATGACAGTTTAAAATTAAATGTCTAAATCTAGAAGAGGCGTTTTCATTCAGTGTAAAAATGACACAATGGTTGGAATATGAAATGTGTGTAAATACACAAATCAGCAGGTTTCTAAAATAAGGACTTGTATCATATAAAGTAAAACAATTTAATAAAGCATTTTATTTTTTATTATTTACCTTTTATTATTTATTATTAAAATGAAATACATTTATATTCATTGACAACTTTAGGGGCATCATAAGGAAAGTGGTTAATGAGACGTACTTTTTCTTGAGAGAACATCGAGCTCAAATTACTGTGATGCCATATATCTGGTATTTTATGTTCTATACTGTATTTTAGGACTGTGTGTTTGTACAGCTGCTATCCTGACCAGGTCTCATGTAAAAGAGATTTCTTTATCTCAGTGGGACTTTCTGGTAAAATAAAGGAAAATAATAAGTCAATGTTAATAATACTCTGAGGTACAAGGCCTGGCTCCTTCATGCTCCATCACATTGTTCATTGATTAAACAATAAATCTTTCAGGGTAACCTCCACGGTGTCGTTGTCAGACAGACGGACAGACAGGGGAAGGAGCTGTATCAATCTCACCAACAGTAACCACTCACCTTACTCTCCAAAATGAAAATGAAACGATATCGATATATGATGAAACGAAACCATTGAATCACACACATATGGCTTATACATACACACACACACACACACACACACACACACACACACACACACACACACACACACATACATTTTTTTTCTCTGTATTTGTCCTTTTCTCCTTTTTTCCCCTCTTTTCTACCCTTCTCCCCTGCATCTATTTCTTTCCATCTCATTAAGTTAAAAGAGTCTAAGAGACATAAAATATAAATGAATAACTACTGAATAAAAAAGTGTTTCATTAGCATTTAAAAAGATGAACAGGTTTTCTTCCCTTCACTTGCACAGTAGAATCACAATCTCATGTCCGTGTCCTGCTGTTAGATTTCCGGGTGGAGCTGCGCTTTCACGCGTTAACAATCAGCCAATGGCAGAGCGGGGACAGCGCAGCCACATTAGCATCTGGTGTGTAGAAGAAGAGCAGGCGCAGCGCTTATTCTTCACATTTGCTTGAGGAAAGTGAATCTCTGACGATGCCTGAACCAGCGAAGACAGCGCCCAAGAAGGGCTCCAAGAAAGCCGTGGCCAAGACCGCCGGCAAGGGCGGAAAGAAGAGGAGAAAGACCAGGAAGGAGAGCTACGCCATCTACGTGTACAAGGTGCTGAAGCAGGTCCACCCCGACACCGGAATCTCCTCTAAGGCCATGAGCATCATGAACTCGTTCGTGAGCGACATCTTCGAGCGTATCGCCGGTGAGGCCTCCCGCCTGGCTCACTACAACAAGCGCTCCACCATCACCTCCAGGGAGATCCAGACCGCCGTCCGCCTGCTGCTCCCCGGGGAGCTGGCCAAGCACGCCGTGTCTGAGGGCACCAAGGCCGTGACCAAGTACACCAGCTCCAAGTAAACAGCTCTGCTACAACAACAACCCAACGGCTCTTTTAAGAGCCACCCACTCTCTCTACAAAGACAATCCTTCCTCTGCTTTGACTATAAACTATTTATTACGATATTGACAGGTGCTGCAGTAATAAATTTAATACAAATGTAAAGTTTAATAGACAAGTAAAATTGGCCACATGCCTTATTATACACAGACTCTAGACAATGAATGCTTCTCTTTGTAGCTCGCACTTCAAGTTACTTGAATAAGAGCTCAATGGAGACCTCTGCTGGTCAAAGTGAAGAAAGGTGCTGTGGTTGAAAATGTTTCACAACGCATGAATCTTCCATAAATACATGAATGGATGAATACATAAAGATGTTTCATTGCATACTCCATGAAACTAAAAACAATAAAGAAACTATTTTATTGTGGATATGGACAAGTTATGAATAGATGAAGTAAATAAATGCAGGTGGATGCACACACAGTTGGTTAGAGTATAATGAATAATGTAAGTATCTGGTGTTTAATTCAGCAATCCACCAAATACACCTTTACCCATTAACTCGCGCCTTTTTAAACTTTTGAATCAGAATTCGAAACGAAGCTAGAACAGTATTAGAGGTATGACATTGATTTTAAATTCGGAATAAAAGTTCAGCCTCTTCTGAAAGGATCAGAGACAATTAATTGTAAAAACAGATTTGTATCCTTTTTTAATTTGTATTTTTTTTACCAGTAATTTATTTGTGAGAGGTCACATGGTTCAGGATAATTTAAACTTTAACATCATATTTTCTGATGTAGGAGCCCAAACCCACAGAGAGCCATCTACATGCAGATACAATAAGTAGAGAATAGTTAAGATTATAAAAACTATAATGGAACATGTTAGTGTGCTGTTTGTAGAACACTAATGTTTAATGAGTTTCATCATAGTGACAAATATAATAGTGAAGCATTCACTTGTCAGTTTGTTAGTGAAAACTAATGCAGTCTAATTCAACAGACATGAAGGATGTAGTAGGAGTTGCTGATGTGAAATGAAAAACTTTGTGAAACCTTTGAAGGCTAGTTTGTAGTTTTATATTCTCAAGTCAGACTTTTAATAAACCCACACTCAAACAAATGTTAACAGAAGATCAAGCATTAGGATTTCATATATTAATGTCTTTAAGTTAGGGTAGATCAGATATTTACAGTGAACGTTGGCAAGCAGTTGTGTATGTAAAGTGTTGTACATACAAGAAGGGATTTTATTTTCTGCAGCAAAATACAGTTACATGAGTTGCTCTCCCAGGCCTGTAAACTCTAACTCACTGGTCATGTACTGACAACTACTCTTCTCTCCCAGCACCAGCTACTGATTACTATAGTTTAATGCACGGAGCGCCCTCTGTTGACCGTACTGTGATTAACAGGAACAAAGTAACCACGGTTCCAATGCACAAGAATTAGTGGTGACCACCATAACTTGTCTCACAAAAACCAATAACAAATATATGTATATGTAACAAATGTCTCTATTGGCATGAAAGTGCAAAACTGTTAATTGACATTAATTGCTTATATTAAATATAAAAGGATTATTCTCTGTAGAAGAGTTGTGTGGCTCTTAAAAGAGCCGTTGTGTTGTTGGGAGCTGTGGTGACACGTTTAACCTCCGAAGCCGTACAGGGTGCGGCCCTGCCTCTTCAGGGCATAGACCACATCCATGGCGGTCACCGTCTTCCTCTTGGCGTGCTCGGTGTAGGTGACGGCGTCACGGATGACGTTCTCCAGGAAGACCTTGAGCACACCGCGGGTCTCCTCGTAGATGAGACCGGAGATACGCTTGACTCCGCCACGGCGAGCCAGACGGCGGATGGCGGGCTTGGTGATTCCCTGGATGTTATCACGGAGAACTTTACGGTGACGCTTGGCGCCTCCTTTTCCGAGTCCCTTGCCTCCTTTGCCGCGTCCACTCATGTTGTCGAGTTCAGGTTGATCCGGAGAAAAACTGATAAATGTCGAGTCAGGAACGTCCGTATTTAAATCGTGAATGCGGACGTAAAGGAAGACACACAGCTCCGCCTCAGTCCGCCATTTGCGTTTCCTCTCTCAAGCTAGAGCCCGTGAGCCTCTGCGTTTCCGGCTAAAATTCATTCAAAATAAAAGTTTAACATTGACCCTGTCAATCCCACTGACCTCTGAAATATTAAATTGGCCGCCAACATGGACTCTAATTGTCTAATTGTCAAGTTCTCAAATTTACCAAAATATTGGTGTTTTTAATTTAATATTGTTTCCACCTGTTATGAATTTTGCAGGGTTTGGGGCAGGTTNTGGTGTTTTTAATTTAATATTGCTTCCACCTGTTATGAATTTTGCAGGGTTTGGGGCAGGTTTATTTCATTTGGATTTGTTGATGTCAAATATATATTCATTCAAGTTTATAGAATAATTGAATGGATGAGCCTGTTTGAATTATTTTTCAGTTTGATTGTTCTTTATGTTACATAATGAAGTGTCCAAAATGATTCAGTGTCACATATAATTTAGTGTCCAAAAAGGAAAGCGTTATCATCTGAGCACATTTGGAAATTTTGTCTAGATTATTGTAAAGGACATAACAATTAGTCCTTAGTCTCAGTTGATCTACAAACATATAAACTTCTGAAGCCTTGGAAATCCCCTGTGAAACTAAGTGTGGCCACATCCTTGAGCACACACCTTATTCAAATGTATTGATTCAGCTCATCTGCTTTAGCACTTTCATGGAACTTCATTAAACATTATATATTTCTTGTTTGTGTTATTTGAGTTACAAACACATGTTGACAAACTTTTATCATTCACTGACAAATAAATGAACATGTCAGCCAACATAATGATATTAATGTTTTAGATCAGTTCGACCTCAGAGGTTTGACTTCAACAACAAAACCCACTTATTTTGGACTTCAGAGGGTGGTGCCAATGTGCTGACTGCAGTTTATACTGTGGTCTATACAATACAGTAAAGTATATGAAAGTTTCATATACTCCCATATTCGAGCATAAATTACAGGCAGTCTGTGAGACTGTAAATAACAACAGATGTTAACAGGTGAGTTCTATAAACAGGTGTCATGAAGGAAGAAATTAGCTCTAAAGACCAAAACTGTTTTCGTACCAGGCTGTAAACATGTTTATTTCTGCTGGAAAGTTGGACATTTTCTATGGGAATAGACTCACTTGGAGCCAGACTCTACTCCACTAATGACTAATTAGTGGAACTGCAGCTTTTGGTTTCACTTTTCAGCTGCTTGGGTCAGACCACAAACCTTCAACATTGCAAGGATCATGTCAGGTAGAAGTCATTGAATGGCTGGCAACTTGTTCATGATGGATCTGTTGTAGTATAAACTAACTCAACTCAACACAGAATAAAGTGTGCAATGTAAAGTAAGACAGGTACTTGTAGTCAGTTTAGGATGCAACGTGTTACAGCACAATCATGTTAGGTGCGTGCAATGTGTTGTGTATGAGAAACTACCGAGTAATAAGGAGTGAATACGTTTAATAATTTGGTTCCAATAGAAGTATGATGAAATAATTATGTAGGCATAATAAAAAAAGGATCAAGCTTTAAAGTGTAGGAGATGGAGTTGGCTCATTTTATAAGAGCGTTGTTGTTATAGTGAGAACTCGGCACTGAGTTTACTTGGCCTTGGGGCGCGGCATTCCTCGTCTTCTTGGCTAGCAGCCAGCCGCCATGGAATGTTGGGTCTAGGTCACTACCTCCAACTGAGCGATTGGTGACTCCGCCGAGCAGTTTTGTTCAACTGCCTCGTCGTTGCGAGCAGCCTAGACTGCAGGTAGGCGGTGGGATGAATCCTGGTCTTTCTGTTTAAGTTTGTCGCGCGGAAGGGACGTCTTCCCGGCAGCGCTCCAGGATCTCAGGAAGGCTCACGGTGCTTGTACGTTAGCAAGATGATAAGACCGGCCAGCCCAGGTAGACGGGAAGCTACGGCACCGACCACGCCACATCTGCGTAGTTACCCTTATATACCCTCAGCAAGCCTGTGGACACGGCCCGACGGGGAACTGAGTCCAGCACGAGAGGAGCGGGTCCATCTGCCTTTGCTACTGGTTCTACA